AAATAGGCAGATTAATGGTCATGCAGATCATTTTAACGGCAATGTGGTTTTGAGTAAAATTTTATTTGCACTTTTTTGATTCCTGCCAACTGTTCACATTTAAACGCAAATAACCGAACAAATACCTCAAACCGTTTCACTGGCGTTCCTCATGGATCAGTTCCAGTTCCACCGCTTTTATTTATGCTAATCTGGAATCTATTGGTTGCTCTGGGGCAGATAATGAAATGTATACAGGGGATGATGCCTTCAAACTACACATATATGCAGATGATACGGTTACATATTTAGAGGCATGGGTATCAAAACATGGCAAACACAAACTAACAATACAAATATAAAACTGAACTGAAAAATCTGAAGTTGACAATACAGCACTGAGGCATGCTACATGTCTATTTTAGTTTATTGTATTGATGAATGTCCCATTCAATCATGCTATTAAAAATGACTTTGCTTTATTTCGTTCCAACCGCTCGTGCAGCGCTATTAGTGTCATTGCTTTTTAAGCCTTGATGTGACTTCACAGCGTTTTGTCATAACAGCAAAAGCACAGGTGTTAGTAATAACATTAAATACTTTACTCCAGTGTCCCAGTGAGGCATGACAGTGTGACAGTGAGCCAGCATGAGACACACCAGGAGCCGGACACTGAAGTAAACGGAATCCAGACGTCATTCATAATCATTTATACATGTGCTTTTTCTATTATGACATGTCAAAATTTGTTTTCATGTGAATTTAACCTGAATTTATGTTCAGTCAGTCATACGAACAGACTGTGACTAAATGACGAAGGGGAAATGTGAAACATGAGTCTACGCCAGCTGGGAGCAGCTGCAATAAAACATCCAGCACAAAGCATGTCTCAAATATGTGTCTATCTGATATACATACGTGCCAGGGGACCCGCTGTATGTCAGCCTTCAACAGACCCCAGGTTAATAAAACATGCTTATCTGTGAAACACGAGATACCACAGACGATGTAACTGTTCATAAACCTCGGAGAATGATGAAACTTACAGATTACGTTACCGTGTCAACATGTCATCATCAGGAAACTCATATGGCTCTGTGATTAGATAATGTATGTACCGATCACACACACAGGAACAAAGCCCTCTCTTGCCCTCATAGACGCTTCACATAAAAATCAATACAGTCACTGGTTTTGCTCTTACCATGCCTCTCCAACAGATTAGACCTCTCTGACTCATATTTGCGAAGACATGTAGTTCTGCGGCTGATGATTTGCTCCGAGGAGCAGAGTAAGAAATCACACCCTTATTAAGTGTGAGGATTGATCCAGTCAATTTTTTCACCGCAGGAGCAGGTTGATGGTGAGATTCGAGCTCAGTATGGGGTGTGATGTGCCTTTGCTTGTTGCTGTGAACCAGACTTGAGATCTGCGCAAGTGTAAATAAATGTTATACTTAAAACACAGTGTGGTTTTGACTTCATTTTATGCACAATTTTACGGTATTGCTGTTGAGTGTCATTAGCATGTGTGAAGTAAACCATCTGCAGTAAATCCAACACCCGGAGTTCTCTGCTCATCCTTTTTTTTTTTTTTTTTTTTAAACTAGCACACTCTGCCTCTCGCAGCAAAACACTGCAATTTTCAATCTGTAATGTACCTATCTTTTCCCCAACACCCCCCCTCTGCCCTCAGCAGGAGGCAGGTCAGGCGTATATATCTCCACCCATTGCTGAGTGAGCACTGGGGGGGTAGGGTGGAGAGACAGAGCACAGATCATAATGGCTGGCCAATTATCAGCAGCAAGGGGATGCTGGGGAGTTGGGAGGAGTGAGAGATTATGGGGAGAATGGATCAATACACCAGTCAGTTTCTAATGAGGGAATGAATTGGTCCAAGTGAAGCAGATGGAATTCCTGCTCAGCCTGGGGTGGTCTTCCTGCACTGACTGTCAGTGGGGGTATCAGGTTTTTGGCACCTCTTTGTACAACAGCGCCCCAACAGGAGAACGACTGCCATCACAATGGATCGGTGACATTCAAGTATTTATAACATTTAGTTTTGGTCGTTCGTGGTGTTTCTCCCGTGCTCTCCTGATCTACCTACATTCCACTTTCTCTAAATATTTCATACATCACTAGGGGCAGATTTAGAAGAGCGTGAAGAATAATGGCTGTCTGTCCTTCACCATCCCCCTTTTAAACAGCCACAGCTGCCAGCACAGGACAGTAAATCCTACACCTCACCCACTCGCCCATCCCAGCAGCTCAGCTCAGCTGTGTGCTACTATGCAGTAACATAACATGCACTCCTCTACTCAAATGAAAGGAAGCAGGCTTAAACTCAGAAATGCTAAACGGCTACCACCCCCCGCTTGTTTCTAAAATGGTGACTGGAATAAGCAGAGTAACCAACAGCTCTGCTTCATCATTAGACCTTTGCTACTGTTGTGCTTCTCTGGTTGCTTCACTAGTTTCAACATCTCCCTTTCTTTCTTTTTTTCTGTGGGGCCTTGTGTGGGGTGGGGGTGTTATTTATGGCTGCTCTGTGCAAGTGGACACACACACACACACACACGCGCACACACACACACACAACCTTTCACAGGATGAAAGGGCAGTCACACTGCCTGCAAACATGATTTTACAGCCCTGGGTGGAATGAGTGGTGGAGGAGAGAATGAGGACAGGGTACAAAAGGGGAAAGCCCTTAGATTTACGGGTCCCAGCAGTCAGAATGCAAACCATGTAGCAGCACACCTATTTAAAGTTGTTTTTTCCCCCTCTACAAAATCCAGAGCCCCTCAGAAATAAGAAGTGTCTTTGTGCAGAAAGACAAATATGTGAAAAGCGTGAGCAGAGATCCATGGAAACACAAGAACAGCATCCTGAAAAAAGGGGATTGGAGCCTTTTTCATGTCTCTGCTGTTTTAATTGGAACTGAAGACTGTTCCATTTCCAATTGTGATCTGTTTTCTGTATCCCATCAGAGACAGCAAATACAAGCGTGTGTGTACATGTGTATGAGGGCATGGTTAGGGCATGTTTGTACAATGTGTCGCATTTTACACATTTTTCCAGTTCCACAAGTCCAAGACGTGTAGAGATTTCCACACATTAAAAATAACAACTTGCTGCCAACATATCAACCAATGTTTGTTTACAGATTTTACTCTGAGTGATTTGGGAAAAGCAGAGTATATATTTAACCATCGCTAAGGAATTTGTAGTGCGTCTCAATCCTGTTATTCAAAATGTAAACACCTATGAAATATTCAGATTTGAGTTGTTTAATTATTTCAAAGCCATGGAAAAACTAAAACCAGAATGCACTGATGATTAACAGATGGAAATTTGAGTATAAAATGCCAGAAAACATTCAAAATATCTTATTTCGATAATCAGCGAAATGAATTAATTATAATTTATTGAGACTAATTTTCCAACAATTGACTCATCAATGAATATACTACTGTACTTATTTCATCTCCAATAAAAACAAACATATAATATACTGCAAGTGTGTGGGAGCAATGGACTTCATACAGAGTCTTTCCAAAAGCCGGAGGCAAAATTGCCAAGACGAGGACGGCAGTGTAATTAAGTTTAAATGTGTTCCACCGACAGTGAATGGCAGAGCAGCTCTGTATGTATGAGATGACTTAATGGGGAGTGGGGGGAATTTTCCAGTTTTTACTCAGTAAAACTGCAATTAATTAAAGTAATTTGGGTGTAAAAGCTCAAGTAAACAGTTTATGAGAACAAAAAGGCAGCGCTGACCAAACTGCTGATGCAGCAGCTCCACACTTTGCCACATCAGATATTCCGAGTCTACCCAGAGTCCTTGTAACACTTCGGTCAAGGGAGGATTTCACTTTAAGTGTCCATGGAATTCATAAACTGACAGTGAGAGAAAGCTGCAGTACATTCTGTCCCTCTGTTAATAATCACAGGGTTCTGCTCGCTGCTCAGGTCTTCTGCAGCTTTAAGACGAAAGAGATCCTTCTGCCGTGACTGTAACAGACTGAAGCCAATGGTATGTTCATATGTCACCATTTACTCTGGTGGAAGTTAAATGGGGTAATAACAGCTTAGATGTGTGTCACTGGTGAATTGTCCTGTGGTGAACACTGCCTCAAGTGGCAAAAGGTCTTCACTGGCAGGGAGCTATCAGCGAAAAGGTGTAGTCTGACCTCTGCTGGTAAAACATGATATTGTTTGCCATCTGAATGTGTCTCTTTGTACAATTTACAAGAGAAAATGCAGTAAAATAACACATGAAGTGGTGATTAAATTTTAAACAAGCAAACATTATTAATAATGATATACACAAATGCATTTCTGGGTGATGAATATAATTAGAAACCTAAAAAAGTTTTAATCAAATTTCCATGATGATGCTTTTGTTACAATTCCACAAAAGAACTCAAATAGACCTACATGATGAAACAAAGTCTGGGATTCAATTTTATATTAGGAGGGTGCTTTTGTGCTGTGCACTACAAGCTGAGACTGCAGGTCACCAGAGTCTCTGAGGGAGGAAGGATGGAAAAAAGCAAGAGGAGGAGGAGGAGGAGGAGGAGGAGGAGGAGGAGGACGGGGAACTGAAAGTTTCATCTGTCTACATACAACAGCAACCGTCAAGACAACCAAAAGCAGCTCCAACGTTTCTCCCTGTTTTGAATAAAAAATACTGGTTGTGCTTGGATCACAAAACAACCTGACTGACACTTAACAGAAAATAAAAACCCTCCAAGTCACGTGAGGTAACAAAAGTAACTTAGCAAAGCAACTTGTTGCTTTCTGTGTGGCATCAATTCACACTTTTTCAATAACTCCCTATCTCCTGAGCTGATTAAAGATGATTATGACCTGCTGTGCTTCAACACAAACCCTGTTGTATTTCCATGATGTTTCTTGTCATTTGCTTTCGCACCACGAACTGGTTCCAGACATTTCGTCTTTGCTCAGTATTAAACTGGCATTGATCTCATATCTCTGGCAGAGTGATGTTAAACTTACCTGTTCTCTGAACTGCTCCTGAGACAGACAGTCGCTCATGTGGACGCAGCCCAACAGGCAGCCAGTAGGGTATTCTTTAGGAAACCTTGTCCCTGCACAGAGAACAAGAGCTATCAAAGATCCACGAATAACACTGGTTCACTTAATTTTAAGCAGCAAGAAACAGTTCTGTTGCAGTATTCACTGTTCAGGTATGTGCATGTACCTTTCTTGTAAATGTGGCGATACATGGCTTCCACTTCAGCAACTTCCTGAGGAGTGGGCTTCTTGGCTGCAGCAGCGATCCAAAGACGACCTCTGTGTGACGTGTACCACGTCCGACCCTCCACCCTACACACACACAGACACACACAGAATGCAATGATACCTTTGCTTTAACTGAATGGAAACATAGCTGCATGAGCTACTACAATTCTGTTCGTCTTCAAAGCTCATTCTGGATTTGGTTGACTCTTTACCTCTTGATGCCTTTGACCAGCAGTGAGGCCCATGGCTGGTGCATGCTGAGGCACCAGCCTCCATCAGACATCTCCTGCAGCTCTTTGTCTTGGAGCCGCAACCTGTTGCGTCCTTCCTCTCCCTTGTTCTCTGCCAAACTCTTTCCCTGCTCCATGTTTCTCCTGTTTCCACCGCCTCCAACATTCACCCACTGCAAACATAAAGTAATTGCCATCGTCATTATCATGGCCAAATTCAGTTAAGTTTGATAATGGTACAAATGACCAGTTTAAAGCCAAAATGTCTTAATATGCAGTTCTGGAAATGTACCACAAGGTGACACCATTGACCCACCTCTGGTGCAGACTGCATTATGTTGGGGTTAACCAGCTCTCTGAGGTTTTGCTTTCCACCTTGTCTTTCTGAGCTCCTCTGTGATTTTGAGTCGTTGTTCATAGCATTGAGGGTCTCGTCCAACCTGTACGTCATAAAACATTTCAACAGAAGAAGGTTTTTATGACATGACAACACAACGTAATCCTGCAGCCTTGATTCGAGTGGTGTCAGATGATCTTACTTGTTGTAGTACGCGTTGAGGTTGTTTCCTTCATCGAGCACTTGTCTACCAGCAAAGTCCAGAGTGATCTTCCTGTCCTTGCGAGAGGCATGGCGCAGCTCTCTAAGCTCCTCCTCCTTCATCCTCAGCTTTTCACGCTCACCGGGCGACAACCACTGATTGGATTCGGTGGCAAAGTAATCTGACTCATCGTCTAGAACTTGCGTTCTCCGGACACTGGAGTTGAAGGGGACAGTAGGCAAAGAGTATATAATAAATATTGTGATTAAAGTAAACGTATCACTCTTCCTGACTGTGGGGTTTTTGATACCTGTTCTTGTCATATTCCAGCAGTTTGTCTTTGTGTTGAAGAGCCTTCTCCAGGCCTGCCTTCATCTTGGCCTCTTGGTGTGGGAGATAATCTCTTTCTCCACCGTCTGTCACCAGAATAAAAAACCTTTATAGCATCAACCCATATCATTACTTCATAGATTTTCAGTATTTCATAATTCTGCCTAGTTTTGACACTCACCTCCCATCAGCTTTTTTCTTAGCTTCTGGCTTTTGTTGGAGTCTCGCTGCAGAATCTCCTGCTCCTCTCTTGTGCAGACCTGAACCAGAAGAACAAAAAAACCAAACAGTGAGTGATTATAACTTCACAAGAACTAAGATCTGTCAGATTTTACATTTACATACCAAGCTTCCACAGAAGAGGCAGGGTCCTGAGCCTTCTTGCTCACACACAATGCGACCACAGCTGATGCAGTTGTTGATAAGTTGGTGCTTTTGAGCAAGGCACTCACAAGTGTGTCGACCAGGGAGTAAGATTGCAAGCCTGTCCTGTCCTTCTTTATTATAGAGACTGACAAACTTACTTTTCTTCTTCGTTGAAGAGGTGCTGCTGTTTTCTTGAGCCTAAGTTTGAACACAGGGCAAGAGAAATTAACTGAATTAGCAGGATCATCATTAAATTTAACTTCATGGGTTGTTATTGTACAAAAAAAAACATAAGAACTACCTTCATCAAATAGGTGGTAAGAGAATAAAAAATGTCGGCCCATGTTTACTCACCCTCATCAAATCAATGGGGGTTTTGACAGCTTCAGGCTCAGGTTCTGTTTGGCTCGCCGTCATCACCTCCTGTTTGTTGCGGCCTTTACGTTTAGACTTCTTCTGGGTATCTCTAGTCGGGTCTTGTGAATCTAAGAAAGTAGAGCAAATTACCTTCACAAAACCTGTGGATATTGTGTCGGCTGGTCACAGGTAGTTTATGGCCCTACCTGATGAGACGGATTCTTTAGGAGGGAAAAGACTTCCAGTATCTGCTGCCTGTCTCTGAGTCTTCTTCCATCTGCTGAGGAGCTCGTCTATAAACTGCCTCTTCTTCCCATCCGTGCCCTGCAGGAGGTCTCCCACGTACTCCTCAATCTCCTCAGCTGATTCAATGGACAGAATGTATCTGGACGGCAGAGCAGCAGAAACAAGCATTTTCAAGATTCAAGCTGTTCTGCTTCACACTAGCGATACAAGTATTTTTGTCGTGGCAAACATAAAGTTCATTTTGTAATAAAAGACCTGATCATGGAAAATATTCTACCATTACTGACAACAACTCCTCATGTGTCATTGCTGCTTCCTTCATCTCTATCAGACATTTACTTATGTACAAATACAAACAGTTTCTTCTAATATCCATGTTGTAAATACTGATGTTCGTGTCTCTCTCTGAGGTTTCTGTGAGTTCTCCCATGTTAATATGTTTTTCATCTTGAGGGTTCGATGTGAAACCAAAACGTATTCAAACTTCATCAGAGGAATAACAGAGTGTTTAACCCGCAGATCAAGACTTTTACATTTCGGACGCTTCATTAACTCTCAATATTCAAACACGTCACAGTGTCGGCACCAGAAACCAACGGGTGACGTCACGGACACTACGTCCATCTTTATATACAGTCTATGGTCGGCACGTTAGCTTTAGCATCGTTAGCTCGGTGACAGTCAGGTGTTTCGCAGCTGAAATGTTTCTTACTCGACGATGTCGTCACACGCCTCCAGTCCGAACACGTGGTGTAGCTGGTCCAGAATCCACCGCAGCAGCGCGTCCGACATTTTGACCCCGAGGACACTTTGAACCCAGAGTCCGATCCACAACTTCGTACAACGACGTGAACGTCACTGAGTTTCCAGTCGGCGGAATAACAACGTCGCACACTAACGCGTGGCAGCACAAAATTTCATCCGGAAAGAGAAAAAAGGCTGTAGATGAAAGGTTCCGGCCACTTTCTTCTTTTAGTTTTATTGGCAGTTGGTAAACCAGCTGCTACATGAATTACCGCCATCTGCTGGACTGGAGAAGAGATCAGTGGATCTATTGTAAGTGTCCATTCTGCTGCAGGAGAACAAGCTGACAATGAGTGTAATAATAATAATCATACAAATAGTAATAACCAGGGATAACATCATCTTTATTGCACAGTTATTATATAATAAACACTTACACCACGGAAACCTGTTTTAGTTTTTCCAAAGGAAATATTTATTGAAAATGCAAATGTACATTTGTATGATACAAATCCTCTTTAACTTTAAAATATCCAGTGGTTGATATGAACGAAAACAGAAGGAAGTTTAGTCCACAGAGAAACATGCATCTACAACGCTCCACCCTGCTCTCCCTGTATTTTCTGTCATCGATAATCGAACCAAATCAAAGTTTGGTTTGTTTCTTCTCCGCTTGGACCAAATGTTTCCACAAAATAAAAACAGCTGTGCTATATCGAACTCCAATAAATAAATAAAGTGCTCCACATACTGTTGAATTCAAATCAGTTAATTCACCTCACTAGCACTGATTATCTAAAATATGTGTGTAATCAGTAGATATACAATTTATTGTCTTATATATTGTTGTATGATGTTGCAAAACATCTTCAAACATTAGGACATTTAGTTATTTACAAAAACCAGGCACAGTGGGAGGAGACATGGTCAAATGTGCAGGCTGACAGGGAGGTGGCGCTACAGCAGTTTGAACAGTAAGTTTGAACCATGGACTGTAAAATAAAGATGGATGACGTCTCAACGTCCTCATTGAAGCCAAAATATCTCTGATCCCAACTACTAACATGGAGGAGGCAAGATTTATGAATTATACCGCAGCCAGCCAGCAAGAGGCGATCGAGATGATTTGGCTTCACTTTTGACGAGCAGCCATGTCGTCCATCTTTAACTACAGATGATGGTAAAATTATACGTAAACAGCTTTAAGTGCAGTTTGTACATTTATTTTGGGTAAAATTGAATCTTGCAGCATCAAAACCTTTCTCGGCTAAAATCAAAACTATTAATAAAAATGATAAATAAAGTCGTCACTGCTGCAGACGAAGCTGCAGTTTGTCCTCCCTGCCAGCAGATGCACCACAACATCTTACTTTGTGTGTCTGTGTGTGTGTGTGTGTTCAGGACCACTGGCAGGAGCAGTCGGTGGGCTCCTGGATGCCATAGCTGACCCAGGTTGCGTTGCCGCTGCAGTAGAGCTGCACCGAGCGCCGCTGCAGCCCCGTCTCGCGGCAGCACTTGCAGAAGCGAGCGTACGTGTTGATGTTGTAGTTGTAGATGCTGGCAGACGGACACTTCCCGTCACATGACACGATGTTCACCTGCAGGACACAGAGAGCCAGTGCAGAAGGTCATTGTGGGTAATTTTAGCTTAAATATGTTGAAATGAAATTGGAAAGTGTGTGAACTGGGAAAGTTCACACAACTACATTTCTTCTGCCAGGAAATGTACAAGCCTGTAAAATTAAGTGTAACCAGTTTCCAGATTTTCTTATTTCTTATTGTATTAACTAGGAATCACGCTGAACACAAACATACCGGCCTGTTACTGCGACAGTCGTTCTTCCTGATCGTCATCCTCACCGTCACCTTCTGACACGACTTTCCATCTTCTTTGCCTGTTCACACAAAAATTAGTCAGAACGAAGTGAGCATAAAAAAATCAAGAAAACACACATGATCAGACAAATGTAGCGACACAGCAAACACCGGGAAAGAGAAGAGGCATGACAGAGAGGAAAGAAGAAGAAGAACGGTGAGTACCGAGGCTGTCGATCATGCACAAGCTGAGAAGCTGCTTTAATGGATGGACGACGAGTTTGATGGTGGAGAAAGTTATAGAGTTAAAAGTAAAAGCATCACAGGAGGAAACTTGTCAGAGAAAAGAAAAATGAAATGTTGAGCAGCATCATGCTTTTATCTCGCACAGCAAACTTCTTCAAACCAGTTGAAACCAGAGGGTGTGAACATGCTCCATCAACGTTTGAGACATTTTCACACAAACACACGGATCCTTTTCAGTGATGCATCAACGCAGCGGCCATATTGTTAAAGAGGAGGCTGTGAATCTGTCTGGAGACTTTATCCTCAATCAAATTAAATGTGATGTCTGACTGTCGCAGTTTGGTTTGTCAGAAAGACCAAAATGTGGATTTTCATACATTAACATACTTTAAATTGGAAGAAATATCACCAGTAATATTTCTGATATATGTTTTTTGTGTATAATAACTTTTTATTCTCTGTTTCCTGGTTTTGACATTTCTTGAATTAAAACATCAGAAAACAGAACAAAATATATTTTAAATCATGATATTTTCCACAATCTGAAATGAGCAGACTCTCTCTTCAATATGGCGGCAGCAGAGACTTTTCACACCATCAGAGGACGTGAGGTCTGTGTGTACATATCTAAAGCACTTCTGGCATTTTGCAAAAACACAAACAAAAACACAGACAAACAGATAAAATAACAACAGAGAACAAAGCTGCTATGTGCGGCACATCAGCTGTTTCCTGTTCTTCCACTCTGACCATTTTAAACACGTCTGTTCATCAGTGATCTGTGAGTAAGTGAGTCACATATATCAGTAATATAAGTCAAATAAGTAAATATATGTATAATAATTAACATTTATTCTTAGATTAAATCATATTTGTTTGTTTTAATCAATGTTAAATGGGAAATAGAAGCTAAAGTTTGAGAAGAATGAAATGAAATGATTTGGTGCATAATAATAGAACTATCATCCATTTTTAATATTGAAATAATTCAACCGTGTGTACAATTTTCTTATTTTACTTTAATGTAAACATGATGCAACGTCTTGAACTTGTTAAAAACAGGAAACTGCAGATGTAAGAATATATCTAATTATGGAAATTGGTTAGTTGCATATACAAGTTACACGGCTCTATATACTACATTACCCAGCAGCCCCTGATGCTGATTATCGTTCTCTGGTGGTTGAACGAAACTCAAACACTAAAGCACTAACTTTAAATGTTTAAATGTGTAAAACAGGATTATTGTAAATATGATGAAGTTTCCATTTATTTACATGACAGCGTTTACAAGTAGAGCGGAAACAATTAACCAATAATTTATTCATAATAATTGTAATTAACAAAAAGAACATTTAAAAGTCTCATCAAGGTAAAATATTATTTGGCAGAACCTCGATACTGCAGCTCCACTCCAATGACACAAGGTGGCAGCGTTCGTATCTGAGATCGTTTGGCTTCACTTTCGTACAGCAGGAGGAAGTGGAAACACGTCGTCCATCTTTATTTACTGTCTATGATTTAAATAAATGTTCAGTTTGGGTCTGTGTGCCTCACATAGTAGCTTCAGTTTTCCACACAGAGCCCCCTGGTGGCGATGGTGCAGAAGCATGCAGAAGTTCTACAGCTGCTACATAGTCGGAGAGCAGACCCACCCACCACCCTCCCACATCAGCATCTACTGACACATGCAGACGTCTAAGCCCGACTACTGGGCCACTACCAACAGCACATTGTTGGCAATCAACAATGCACTGCCCAGACAGCGCTAATGGGGACAGAGTTTGACTGTCGTGTACATGTACGTGATCCACTGGGGAAGGGGCGGGGTTTCGTTTCTGTCCTCTCAAGTGTGACGTCATTCCTTTGGCCGGCGTGACGGAGTCCCCGCCTCCTTTGAGGGCATCATTTTGTGACGTCACTACAACGTCTTTCTAAAATAAACACTCGTAAGACAAAGTTGTCGTATGAGAGTAATTGGTTTTGATGAAGTGAGGCGAATGAATCATACGACAAAACCTGCCGACGCTTTGTCGCATGTGATTTCTGCTGATTTTAATTTGACCTTAAATGAGACAACAGCTGAGAGGACTGTTCTGGAGGAGGGTCAGACTGTGTGTGATTCATCCTTGTTATTATCTTCGGAGGGAGTACATTGTTGAATTTCAACAATGGCACCGATTGGCCTTGTTGTTGTGGTACCTCGTTCACAGTTTGTGTTAACTGTGGGAGTCAGGGGGCTAACGGGGAAAGGGAACAGAGGGAGTCCAGTACCTGGTGGGATTGGTACATGTTGGTAAGCTGCAGCACACAAACCACAAACCCACTTGTATTTCATCAGATGCCTTTCAGTGAGAGCTGCTTCAATCGTGTGGCACTTTGAAAAAGGTGCTTCTCTGATCTGAATACAGGTTTTGGACTGAAACGGACAAACTGAAGGGCAAACATGTTGGAAACATGTTGAGCGGCAGGTGAGGGCGCTCTTCAGCATCAGCTGCAGCTACAGCTCTACACTAAACTACAACACTGCCGCTACGCTCACGTCAGATACTCACATGTTCTGCAGCATCCGTCCATGTAACTTACGACTGTTCCACCGATCTGGGATCAGAAATGGAGAAAAATTATTTTGAAAAAGCAGTGTTCGTTGGTTCCTGATGGCAAATATCATAGATTCTAAGGATTCATTCCCCAAAACAATTCATCTGAGACCAGCTTCAAGTGTTTTTCTTTTACTTTATTTTCTAAACTCTCTTTGAATAAATCTTTCATGGTCTCTGAATTGTATTTAACAAATCATTTTCTGTCTTAGAATCAATTCAATAAAATGTGGGTCAGGAGGAAAGCATGACTGTGTGTGTGTGTGTGTGTGTGTGTGTGTGTGTGTGTGTGTGTGTGTGTGTGTCTCACCTTCATACACTCGGTCTCGTTGAAGGGGGGGCAGCTGAAGGAGTAGGAGATGAGCGTGGGTCCGGACAAAGTGTCTGTGCAGTCGAACTTCACACAGTTCAATACCCAGGATTTCCCCGGCTGAAAACACACACACACATCATCAACAAGTTTCTGAAAACTTTTCATAAAATATTTAATCACCTTTCGTAACAAAATACAATTTTAAATTCCTTTAAAAAGGACTTCCTACCTTATAGAGAGCCACCGTCCCGTTCTCATGTTCATAGAGGCAGGAAATGTTCTTACAAACGCCACAACATGTCGACTGGTCTTTGGGAGGGACGTAGATCTGATTCTGAAACACAAGCAAACGTTTCAGATGAGTCCTCTCGGTGGAATAACAGAGGAGGCTCTCTGCAGAGGTGGGGGTCTCACCGGCTGGCAGTGGGTGGAGCAGTTGATGCTGGAGGTGCGGAGCAGGTGGAAGCCGCTCGCTGGGTCGAGGCTGCGGCTGCACTGCCGGCTGTGACACAGGCCGTCGTCCCCGTGCTCCACCAGAGTCTGGCCCGGCCGCAGCACCCCCCGCTCGCCAAACAAGCACACCGCCTCGCGCACTAAATACACACACACACAGAGGTAGAGGTCAGAGGTACAGGTCAGAGGTCACGGGGGACAGAGCGGCAGTGGATGCACTTTCTAATGGAAATTGGCAGAATGTTGTTTCATAATCTTAAAGTGTTTCTCACCACACTTGTATCTTTTGCAGGCGCACTGGTTCTGTGGGTCGGACAGGAAGGCCCGGTCCAGCTGAGCGGCCTCTCCCTGCAGAGCACAAGGAGAAAGAACTTAGAACACAACCTTAAAGAGTTTACAGAACTTATATAATTCACTGTGACATTTATTAATTCAAGTTTAATCTAGTGGTGTCTTCAAAATATGCATGTTAAGTTCTACACATGAATAGATCCACTATGTAAAATATGTCCGAACAGAAAAACTGAATTATAAAAGTCAGGACGTACCAGGCCACATTTTGGGGAAGCGATTTTCTCACAGGAACATTCTGGAAACAGAAAACAAACATCTTCACATTTCAGCTTTATGTTTGAGATGTTAAGACCACAAACAACAAAAGTTTCTGCATCATCATAGACTAAGTCTCTGGCCTGATATAAATCAGATTTCTTTTCTATGAAAAAAAAAAAATCTGAATCTGAGCGAGCTACGAGCTGCAGACTGAGGTTTGGGACCTGAATGCATCATGAACTGTCATGTGACGTACCACATGTTTGGTTTGGGCAGCAGCGACTCGGACCGGACGTCGACAACACCGACATCCCAACGGCACAACTGAGCTGAGGACACCTGTAGGGCTCACACACTGCACACACACACACACACACAAAATCAATTCATGTACAACCACAATTATCATTTCTTTCTATTTTTAAAGTTCATGAAATGTAAACAATTGCTTGATATTATCAACGTGTCAAAACGTCTGCATAAAATTGTATCTGAGAAACAAGAAATTACAGAGACACCGGAAACAAGTTTATATTTTTCTCTAAAATGGAGAAAAAAGAAACATGAAAAGAACTTAAACAAGAATCCCAACTGTGTGCAAGTACTGCACTTAAAAGTAAATATACTTTGCCATATATATATATATGTGTGTGTGTGTGTGTGTGTGTGCATGCTCTGACCACACTGGTAGGCGGGGCAGCAGCGGTCGGTGACGTTTCCGTCGACTGTCAGCACCTCCCCGTTCTGACAGAGAGGAGGAGTCTCCGGACAGGAGGAGGAACACACTGGAAGGAAACACACACTTTAAATCAACCTGCTGACGACTGAACGTAAACACAGGAGCTGATGTGACGTGTGTGTGAACTGACTGCAGATGTGGGCCAGACAGCAGCTGTCGTCGGCTCTGGTGGCGATCAGAGTCTGGTCTTCTCTGCAGGTGGGAACGTCCGACCCACAGAGATCAGGGTCACACTCTGCAACACAAACATTTCTAGTGTCCAAAGGTGAACTACAACCGCAGCCTCCACAAGCCAGACAAGTTTGCATCCATAATCATCCATGAGCCGTAATCTTTTATACTCATTGGCATAGTTTCCCCGAGGAACTGGTAATTCAAGGAAGAGAAAACGTTTCTCTTGATTGAGTGAAAGAAGAAATTAAAGCAAAAGTAGATTGAGTTTGAAAGAAAACAATCACTTTCCTCCAGCTCTCCCTTCAAAGCCTCTAAAACACACTCACGCAAATTAGAAATGTTCTTTTATTCATTGCTTTGATGCAGGATGTAAAAATAAACATCACCTACTCTAACGTAAGATGCACATTATTGGATCTTGTCTGTCCTGCTCTCTCAGAATGCTGCAGTCCAGACGTTATTTCCAGAAATATCTTAATAATTAATAATCTGGTGAAATAAAAAGTCAGAGAAAAAGAAACTCACCACAGACGTAATGTGGACAGCAGGAGTCCTGCCTGTAGTACGAAACCAGCTTCTCCCCGTATTTACACTCAGGAGGGACCAGGTCACAAAGGCTCTGGTTACAAACTGCAGAGCCAGAAAATCACATCATCAACATTTTGAATTTCTAATTCCATAACAACTTCTTCAATTCGAACATTTCAAAGTAGCTGCCTCACCGCAGACTCTCTGTGGGCAGCAGCTGGTGTCGTCAGCCAGGCTGATGATCACCTCCCCTGCTCTGCGGCACACGGGCGCCACCACATTGGAGCAGTTGTACTCCACGTGGACGATGGAGTCGTTGTCGCAGCGGTACATGCAGCAGGCGTCCTTCGAGGCCTTCCACACCTCGCCGTGTGCACGGGGAGCGCCGGAGCTGTCAGTGCAGGCTGAGGACGCACAAATGACGCCATGATTTCTAATTCACTGGTCATGAGACGACAATACTGAAGCAGACTGCAGGTACAAGGGTTACTATCCAGGTCTTGTACAATTACAACTGACATTTTCAGATATTTTTCACAACCTTATGTCGTCATAATCTAACTTTGTGACGTCCGGTTTGAGACTTACCGCATTTCTCGGGTGAGATGCAGAGGGCGGAGTAGGGTCGGTGGAGCAGCGTCCCCTCAGGACACACGCAGCCCTCAGTCAGGCCTGAACAGTGGTCGGGGTCTGAGTCGAAGTCGTGGTTGGGGCAGGACTGAGACCTGCACGCCGGCAGACAGGCCTGATACCGCAGAGTGTCGGGACACGTGAAGGCTGCGGAGGAGACACGCAAACATGTCAGTGCCACAAACACATCACAAAATCTCATGTGCACACGCCACCATTTTGTTCAAACATTAAGTTTATTCTAGTTTAGACATTTTTAACAGGCTGCTCATTGTGGTCCAGTCATTTTTCCCTAGATTCACTCAGGAGCTCAAACAGCAGCTCTATCCGACCAAAACTTACGGCAGTGATCCGGACTCCTCCACTCGATGCAGATATTAAATTTGTGACACAAGGCCACATATGCAGCCAGCGCCACACACTGGTTGTTGACGTACTCTGCATCTCGGACCCAGACCTCACAAAATGTGCTGGGCGGGACCTAAAGACAAAGAAAGAATAAAAATGTTTTTTTACACATTGGTTATAATATAAAAACATATTTTTGGGTCAAAGTAAGATCAATCTTTTTTTTGGGCTTCTCTGTCACCAGGCTGAGAAACTATTGAGGCGAGAAACCGGCCCGTAGATGGTTCAACACTTACGAAGGCGTGGCAGGGGGAGAAGTGGTGGTTCTGCAGCATGTCCATGCACACGGAGCAGTTGCTGGTCGAGCAGTTGAGCTCGCGGCGGCGGCTCTGGCTGATGTAGCTGGTGGTGTTGGGAACCTGCCAGCTGTCGATGAAAAGAGCCGGATCCTCGCTCACGCCCACTGTGGTGCCGTTGGCCAAGGTCAGGTCGTTGGTTGGGTCTCCGTCACACAAACCTGAGGCGGGTGTCACAAAAACACAACATTAAAATCTGTCATAAAGGATGTGACAATCACCGATGTTGTAACTTAACAATCAGGCTTTCTGCTGACAACCCAGACTGGTGTTTCAAAGAGAACTGAAGTCGTAGAATTTGTGCAGGAGTTCGATGACTCTTACCACAGAGGCCCATGGTAGGAAGCTTGTTGCTGGAGCTGTCAATCACCATCATCCCGGTGCTGTGATACCACTGCAGCCTCAGACCGGCGGGGCTGCGGATCAGGTACATGTTTCCTGTGTCGTAGATCTCGAAGCCATACTTCTTGAAACGAGGTTTGGCGTATCGGGAATTGATGTAAAGCTGAAGGAGGCAAAGAGCGGCTCAGAGGTTTAATCTGCTCATGTGACAGATAAGATACAAACCAGTAAAAGTCAGGATAAGAAGGACACGGCTCTTACCCTCCTCTGCAGTCGGTTGATGACGATGTGGTTGGAATTGTGTGTGATGTTTAACGCCACCAGACAGAGGTTGGTGAAATTCCAGAGCTTGAGAAAGGAAAAGGGAAATCAGTGACTTCTGTCTCCATCACTTTAAGGGAACCAGGGAAGAATGACCTCGACCTACTAGTGACTCAGAGTCCGCGGGACACTCCTGAACCAGGACGCTGACAGTCTCGTTGGGCAGCTGGGTCACGATGTATGAGGCCGCCTTGTATATGGCAACACTGTTCCCATCAAACGTGATGACGTTCAAGTCTGGAAACATCGAGCAGCGACCTGGAAGCCAAGAAAAGGTGATGATGAAAAACTCAAAGCAGATGAAAGTTAATCTGCAACATCCATGAAACATCTGTTGGAAACACAGAGAAGTTGGTTTGTGTTTTCCTCACATGGACAGTCCCACTGAGGGCAGCACTTGTCCCCATTGACCAGGATGGCGAAGCCGAGCAGGCCACAATTCGGGGGTTCGGAGGTGAAAGGACAGCTCTGAGATTTGTTGAACAGGATGAGCTGGTTGTTTACGCAGATGTACTTTGTGCACTCGTCAACGATCTCTGCGTACGGAGGCTGGATGAAAACAAAATGAAAAACTGAAAACCAGGGATTGCACAACAAAAAGGATTTAACTTTTCATTTGTTCCAGTTTTTGAGTGTATTGCACCGTCTATATCTTTATATACGACTGATTTTTATCATGTCGTCAAGTGTTGTGAGGATCAAACTATTGTTTATACAATAGCTTGATTAAAGTTGCACTTGTGGCTCTTATTTTAAAATGAAGCATTGAAAATGTTTCTTCATTGATTTCTTTGATTGTAAACAGGAACAAACTCACAAACTTTTTTTTTTATGTTGGTATTCTGTGCGTGTAATAAGTGAACCCACAGTGCACGTCCTCATTGGGGCCACAGCCTCAGATGTTGTGCCCTCCGCCGCGTGACTGGTCGTTGCAGGTGCAGGAGACGCTGTTGCACCTGGACTGGTCTGACCCGCTTTGTCCAACTCAGTGGTTTGGACCCTGGTGGTTGTTGGGTGTGACGTCACAGCAGGAGAGGCTGTCCCGGGCTGCTGCGTGGAGATGAGCTCGTCAGGTGGCGGCATCACTGGTTGGGATGTGGATGTCGACACTTCAGTCTCTTTGGTCGTCTTAGTTTTCTCAGATGTGACCGGCTCTCTGCTGGTTGTCATGGGGATGGCAGTAGATGCTGTGACCGTTGTTAGAGTGGGAACCGGCACTCGTGGGGTGATGGGGGTCGGGACAGGAACTGCTGTGGTCATGTTGTCAAGCTTGGTCGTGCTCACTGTGGTGACGGACTCTGGAGATGTTGCGACGGTTGCAGATGGCACTGCTGACATGGTTGTTGTGCCGGGGCTCTGTGCGACAGTCGTCGGACCGAGAGTGGTCGATCTGGTGGTCACTGTTGGGGGCCATGTTGCTATGGTAACCCTTGCAGTATGTGGCCTGACTGTTGACCGCTCGGTCACGGTGATCCTTGGGGTGACTCTTGTTGTCACAGGAACTCTGGGTGTCGTCCTGAGGGTCGTCGTCCGTATGATGGTTGAAGCGGTTGTGGCAGGTGAAGCTCTTGCAGTGGACACCAAACGGGTGGTGACTTTGTCTGAAAAAGTTGTCGTCCGTGGGGATGCCAACGTAGTTGTGGGCATCGGTGTCGAAGATGGAGGTGGCATGGTTGTTGCCACCTCCACTCTGCCTGTCACTGGATGTGTAGTCTCTGTAAATGGCTGGAAGATGACAGGTCTGGGCGTGGTGGCGACATCACCTGGTGGAGCTGTTGTAGGGGCTGTGGTGAGGGGCGTCTCAGGCTCACCAGGTGCAGGTGGTGGAGGTGTAAACAATGTCCTGGTTGTGGTGGCTTCGATTTCTGCAGTTGAGGTCGTAGTTTGAGCAGCGGAGCTTGTGACAGCCGGTGACATTGCAGAGGTGACCACCGGCTTCGTTGTTGTTACTGCAGGATGAGGAGATGCTGTAGTTTTGGTGGAAGTGACCACATGGACAACAGGTTCAGAAGTGACTTCTGGTGTAATTGTCTCTGTAGGGCTGTAGACTGAGGTGGAGGAGGTCTCCTGATGGGTGGGATGCCATTGCTCAGAGCTCCGCAGGGTGGTTGCAGGATGAACGAAGCTCTCTGTCATTGGTGCAGTCGTGGTTTCAGTATGAGACTCTGGCATTTCAGTGGGTTTTGTTGTGACAGGAGGACCTGTGGACATGGTGGACCCTTCTTGAGCTTCTGACGGTCGTGGAAAAGTGCTGTGAGTGGTTTTCTCTGTGGTCGGGATGGCAGTGGACCAGGAGGTTCTCTCAGTGTAGACTGTGGAGGTGGAAGCAGGAGGAGCTGTTGTGGTTGTAACCTCTGGAGATGGAGGTGCAGGTGTTGTAGCTGCAGGTTTTTCAGGAACTGTAGTCTCAGGTACGTCCACTTTCTCTGTCGTCGTCCTCCAGGCTGCAGCAGCTGAGGTCGGAGCAGATGTTGCAGTTGTAGTTGTTGTAACATGGAATTGGGTTGACGTTGGCGACTCAGAGGCTGATGTGGTGGAGGTTGTTAGTTCCATCGGGGGAGTTAACTGAATCGTAGTTGTTGTTGGTGTTGTTGTCCCTGTTGTTAGGTGTTGTGTTGTTTTACTGGTAGTTAACTGTGCTGGTGTTTCTGATTCTGTGGTCTCTGCTGAAGTGGCTGTGGGCAAAGACACAGTTCCTGTTTCGATAGGAGGCAACGATGAGAGCGGTGATGTGGTTGTGAAAGCTGTGCTTGGTGAACCAGGTGGGATCAGTGTGGTTGTTGTTGGAGGAAGTCTCTCCTCTGTTACCATCTTTGTGGTGGCGTATGTGGAGGCTGTTGTGGTCACACTGGGAGCTGTGGTTCTGCCTGTGACCACAGATGTCTCTGGGATCGGAGCAGGAATGGAAGCTGTTACAGTTGGAGTAACCGCTGCTGAATGTGTTGTAGCCTCAGTGGTTTCTATGGTTGAGTGTGTGACAACAGAGAGAGGGCTGCTGCTGGTGGGGGTTCGCCCCACAATGGAGGTGGTTAGCGCTCCGGATGCAGTGGGCTGCAGAGTCTTGGCAGTGGTGGTGACCAGTGGCTCAGGGGAGGCCGTGGCTTTGGTGGAGGAGGTGATCCAGAACAGAGCGGTGATGGCAAACGGAGCGATGCTCGTTTTGGAGGTGCTGAAGCTGGAGGGGTTGACGGTGGAGCTCAGCGCCTCAGGCGTCGATGCTGTTGTACTTGTTACAGTGGTGAGAGGAGCTTCGGTCTCTCTGAGAGTCGACATCACAACCTCTGGCTTGACAGCAGTGGGTGCTGTTTGGGAAGACGGAGGTCCTGCTGTTCTGGAAAGTTCAGGAGAGGCGGTGACCGGTCGGGTTGGCTCGTCAGGGGCTGGTGGTGCCATAGTGGAGGTGGTGTGTGTGCTGACAGCAGGAGAAGCTGTGGTGATTTTAGTGGTTGGAGCATCATGTGGAGGAGCGGAGGACTCAGTGGTGACTGTGGTCTTCGGGGTGAAGGTGGAGGCAGCAGAGGTCAGCTGAGCAGCGGGTGGTGTTACAGGCTGCACAACAACAGGGGCTTTAATGCCTGAAACAAAACAATACAGAACGTGTTAGAGAAGCGCTGAGGCTGTCGCACAAAAAACTGTTTCACACATGAACTCCAGAGAATGTCCATGTTATAAGGTCCGGGTTCTCCAGAGTTTGCCTTTCACTCATGAAGCAGGAGCAGCAAGATATTCTGCATGAGAGGATACTCACAGTCTTCCACATAAACACAACGACGAGTGACCTCGTCCAGGACCATGTGAGGGGGGCAGACAGGGAGGCAGCCCTCCACTCTGTACAGACAGCAACACTTGGTTATATTTAAAATATAAAGAAAGACAAAACTCAAAGACAACTCGTAGACTTTTTACAATTTTGGATTTATTCCAAATCAAAATGATGCTTTGACTTTCAGATGTTATCTAATAATCTTATTTATCTATATCTCAGGATATTGAGGAGCTCTCACTGTGGGATGGTGACGCAGGCTTCTGCTGACGGGTCGCTGCAGGTCTTGAAGCAGGGGCTGACGCAGGAGTCGTACCTCCACTGACACTGAGGACGAGGCGGAGATTCTGGGTTTGGGCCTGAAGAAGAACAAACATTTTACATTTTTATTTCAAGACTCGATGAAAAGATCATAATCTTCATCTAATTTTGTTGGAACAAAGCTTGTTTGTGAAAGTAAACATCACTCTGTTTTTGTAGCTCAACTTTAAATGCATCAAATTCATGCTTATATTATATAATCAAACAGTACTCAACATTTCAAATCTTCTGCTTTTTTGTTATTTGCAAATGATGAAAAGCTAAACTGAAAGAGATTTGGAGGGGATTTAGATTTGAAAAGCCAAATTCAGCCAAACCCCAAACATGTTCCTTTATCGAACAGCTTTTGTGTCTGAGTAACGTTTGGTGCCGTTATGATGCGTTCGCCGCACATTGGTCATTTCAGCGCTGCCGACCTGTCAGTCTGAAGAGCGTGGCCTTGCGGTAAGTGTCGGCGTGTCTGTATTTGAGCAGGTGGAGGCGAAGCAGCGTGGCGTGCAGGAAGAAACCGGGTTTGGCGTGGGACTCCAGTGAGTCGTAGCCTGGGATCCAGGTGTTCCGGTGGAGGACGAAGGTGGCCCCGTCCCAGAATGCCTCGCTCTCCTCCCACTTGGCCATTCTCACCTGGCCGCTGGGGCTCGCATACAGGAAGTAGTTTGGTCTGTCGGCCGCCTCAAAGGAAACACGTGATGTGTCTGCATAGACGATAATGAAATGATTAATCAGAACGCCGTGAAGAAGGCAAGCGTACATATTCACAGTCAAACAAACTGTTGTCCATTAACATATAAAGTAATATTATATATCCTCTTCTTTTGTTCTGTTTTGTTTCTGCACAAACATCCATCTGATTTATTTGAACTTGAATTGGAGATTAACTCTTTTTCCACAGCCAGGAGGGGAGTTTGTCTTTCTGTTCTGTTCACAGTGCGTCATATTCGACATCACACAATGCTACTCAACTTGTTTCAATCACTGCCGATTGGAGCAGGAGACAATAAAAACCTTTGTCTACTACAGAGTCATTTGACCCAGTGATGATGATTTTATCTGTTCACATCACAGATAAGAGCCAGACGTTAGTGAGAGGGTGTTCGTGAGTTTTTTGTCCAGTGGAAAAGGGGCTTTTGTTGACTGAATTATTAATGTGTTTTTGGTTAATGCATTTGTCCGTGTCATCTTGTGTGAACCCTCAGAAAACTATGAAATGTGTGAAGGAAACAAAAATGTTTTCTGGATTCCTCTTGAAAAGGATCCAGAGAGCAGCAGCAGAGAGAGCAGCTTTTTTCAGGGCGTCTCAGCTCTCTGACCAGTCTGTAGATCAGGTTGCTACATTAGCATTTGGCAACGTGATCTGAACCTGTCAGCCCCTGGAAGTCAACGGACGTCCAGCTCCTCCATCAGTGTTTTCACTGGGGCGTTCTAATCATTACAAACAGCATCGAAATAAGAGGAAACAGTGGAAGAGGAGAACGCCGGGCGGGCGGTCGTTGTTTATCTCTGAAACTCTAAGATTAGCTGGAGGAGAAGACGCGGTGGAGTCAGAGGTGGAAACGCAGAGTAACATGAAGAAAACTGAACAATGGACAGTAAGACGCAGTGAGAAGATGGACGTCTAATTCTGGAATGAAGTTCAGTGTCTTTAAGCTCATTGTTCTGAGCTCATCAACCGTTTTAAGTCACATCAGGCAGCTGGTTTTTCTGATAAACAGCAGATGGACACAGTTAGAGACCAGCAGCTGAACACAGTCGAGCATTTAGCAGCTAATGACCTGGAGATTTCCCTTCGGGAGGTGGAGACCAAAAACAGATCCTTAATGAAAAAGTTTAAACGATTCTTCTTATTGTAATTTTTTTAGTTTGTGTGACAAGAATAGAACAAAACTAATTCAATCTTTTGCAAAGGAAAAACAAAGGAGAGGAAGGCTGTGGAGGAAATGGACTCACCGTGTGGTCGGGCTCTGCTGAGGCCCGGCGTCATCATAAACAGTGAGAGGCTGCTGGTGGTGCTGGTGGTGGTGGCGGTGCTGAGGTTCCCACGCTGCAGGAACACGGAGCCACCGGACCTGCTGGCTGCCAACAGCATCGTCCGATCCCTGAAGGGGACGAGCCTGAAGGGGCCTTTACCCAAAACTACAGACAGAACGTCATGTCAGTGTTTTTATTAGTGCAGCTCATATATAACAATTACATTCACTGTACTTGCACAGTATAACTAACCAACCAATTACTGCTACTAAAATCCCATTTTCACAGCCATTTATCTAATA